ACCCACTGAGCCGACAGTCTCGGCCGCCGAAGCCCACAGGGCAGTCGCAGCTGAAGCCCCCCCAGCGCTCTGCGCAGCGGCCATGGTTCTGGCACGGGTTCGAGTCGCAGAAGTGGAGCTTGGCCTGGCAGCCTGGGGAAGGAAGGCATGGGGAGCGTATGAGAGGAGGGGCACAGCGCGGGCAGGACCTGGGGGTCCACAGGGACCAGGAGTGGCCACGATCTCAGCCCCAGGTCCCCACGGGGTGGACCTGGACGGAGGCGGGCCCGTGCAGACGCCCGTGCAGGCCCGTTGTAGGAGTTACCGGAGCCGTGCTGGCCACCAGAGGAGACCGTGAGCGGGGGAATAACTCGCGGCCCCACCCCACCCGAGGACAGGGACGCCTACCTGCCACAGTGCCGTTGTTGGCCACGAAGGCCGCCATGTCCACTTGGCGGCCATCAATGTGCAGGTCCCGCATGCAGCCGACGAAGTCCTTGTGGGACACGGGGAAGTTCTCGGGGAGGTTGGGGACACCCCCCAGGAGCAGAGGGCCTGTCAGGTCCAGGGACCTGGGGGTCAGGGGTCCAGGTCATTGGTGGGACTGGAGCCAGGGTAGGGCTGCTCCTGGGGCGGGGGGGTCATAGGAGGTGTGGGGGTAGGACTTAGGGGGCGAGGTCATTGAGGAGGCCTGGCTGGGGGAGCTGCTGGGGCCTTACTTCAGGTGGGGGTGCAAAGGAGCTCCTGATGGGCAGAGTCTGGGGGAAGGGGGAGAGCGGGCTGAGGGTCAGGATGAGAGAGCGAGGGACGTGGTGTCTGGGGTGGCAGAGGGAGAGGAGGTGAGGTGGGGTCTCCGGGTCCTTGTGGGGAGCGGAAACCTGGTGGTCTGGGGAAGGGTGGGAGCTTGGCGGGTGAGGGTGTGAAGTGGTGTGTGACGGGCTGGCGGGCTTTGCCCGCAGAGGGCATGGGGCAGGGCTGGGCCTCACTTCTTGGAGCTGGTCTGCGTGCCAGCAGCCGCGCACGAGTAGTTTCCGATCTCAGCTCCAAACTGCAGAGCCACGGCCACATCACAGTCATCCACGCTCAGCACGGCCACCTTGTCCTTGGAGGGGCCCTGAGCAGCCCCCAGGGCATCTGTCCGGGGCTAGAGACCCAGGCACACCGCTCAGCAGGGCCCCCGGGGGGACCCCCGAGGGGCAGGACTTGGCATCCCAGCTCCCCCCACTCCCAGGCAGAGGGGATGCCCACCTTGTTGTAGTATCTCAGGTGCACAGTGTGCCACTGCCCGTCACTCAGGCCCCCTGGAACTGTGGGGCTGACCACCGTACTGGACTCACCTGTTGGAATGATGCGTGTGGAGGTTGACTCCCCCAAGTCATGTAGGCACAGCCACCCCCAGGGTGACGCTGTTGCATCAGGTCAGCCCACACACGGTGACCACACCACTGTGCACCGGAGTGCCTGGGGCAGACAGCAGCACACGCCCGGAAGACGGACTCTCCCCGGAATCAGGTTCTCACTGCTGTCTGTGGCCATGGAGGCGGGTGTGCAGGTCCCTCAGGGGGTTGGGGGCTGCACTGGCCTCCACACACATGCACCGCCGCCCACACCCCCCGGGGCACCCACCTGTGGAGTAGGTGAGCCGCACTTGCCCAGCCACGATCTCCAAGGCCAGGAAGTCGTGCTTCTCGTTCAGACGCCCGTTGTAGAAGAGGAGCCCGCTGGGCTGCACTGTTGCAAACCTGGGTGGGGGTGGGCAGGGCGAGTCACAAGCCGCACACTCCGCACCCACCATCCTTCGACAAGGCTGGCGGGGAGGGAGCCCAGGCTGAGGTAGGAGGAAGCGGTGAGAGAGGGGGCGCTGCAGAGTGACCGCCCAGGCAGGGCGGCGGGAAGGGGCGGCAGGGATCGGAGGCGGGGTCGGGCAGTAGGAG